ACAAGCTTAATCTATAAATTACTGTTATCTAACAATGACCGCCTGCCTTTTTTTCAGGAATTATCGGGTGGGGGGGAGGATTCATGGGATGATGATCTTGTGTCACATAGTAAAGTCCTGTAGACATTACAGGGGTGGGTGGGTTGGCCAGGGACTAGACACGGGTATGCTCTTTTCACCACCAACGTCCAGCTCTGCACGCAGATTCGTTAACTTCTTTTCCTGGTGCTGAGTAGAAAGGCCACTTTGGAAAGTAATGAAAGGGGCAGAGAACGAAAAGCTCCTCCACAGATTATTGGATTCTATATAATCCACAATGCGCCGTGTTCCAGATCAGAAACCTCATGCTTCTCAACACGTTTTTACGAGGAAATTTTTATATAACTCATTTAGTAGGAATGCTGTCAATTTCCTGGTAGGTTTTTATGTTTGCCTTTGTCGTTGCTTCGTTTATTACAGGGTTATTAATGGCAATTGCAGATCCTTACAAAGCTTTGTGGATGCTGGCATGACAGGAGAGTTTCCTTGCCATAGGCAAACTTTCTTATAGAATGTGAGTCCTGGAGCAGCCATCAGTTCCAGAGGGAACTGGGGTGGGGGGGGGAGAGGGAGTGTTCCTTTTCTTTACACAAGAGAAGTCAGACTGTACTCCAGCAGGAGACTAGGTGGTGGGAGTAACCAAGGCAAATACCACTTTCATGTTGTCTAGTGATGAGTGCAATCAGACAGATTTGATCCAGATTGGGGACAGGGTGGTTTGCTCGTTTTCCCAGTGGCCACAAGACATACATGCTATCACAAACAAGGCCACCCCTATCAATTCCTACCTATACCTTTCTGGATCCCAGTCAGGGTCTGTTGGTTGGTTGGTTGGTTGGTTGGTTGGTTGGTTGGTTGGTTGGTTTTTTTGTTTGTTGGTTGGTTGGTTGGTTGGTTGGTTGGTTGGTTGGTTGGTTGGTTGGTTGGTTGGTTGGTTGGTTGGTTGGTTGGTTGGTTGGTTGGTTGGTTGGTTGGTTGGTTGGTGCAGGTAGGATCTGTTTTGGTTCAGTCTCAGTGTGTGTCATTGCTGGGAGTGAGCCCAAGTGGCTGGCTGGATGTCCCTTTGGTGATGCTATTCAGTCATCTTGAGAAATGGGAAGCTTTCATTCCATTTCCCTCTGGAGTGGAAGAGAGATGACGCTTTCTACTTCTTTTTAATTATTGCCAACTGACACTCACCGAAGCAACCAACATGAATCTGACACAACTCCGGGAGGCAGTGGAAGATAGGAGGGCCTGGCGTGCTCTGGTCCATGGGGTCACGAAGAGTCGGACACGACTAAACGACTAAACAGCAACAACAACTGACACTCCAGACAGAGCACGTTACCATAGTCTCTCGAGACTGAAGGATGCCTAAGAGAACTGACACTGCACATCAGAAGTGCTTTGAGAAAGCTTTTAAAAAACGTGTCACTGATAGCAACAATTAAAAAGATATGGACAACTTCCTTTCCCTTCTCCTCCAAAGGTGAGCAGAAAGGAAGCTTTCCATTTCTCAAGATTGTTAAGCAGCTTCATTAAATGGACAGCCAGCTGTTTAACCATCTTGAGAAGTGGGAAGCTCTCCCTTTAAAGAGAAAGAAGGTCTTGGTTGTGCTAAATGGGGTTTAGCACCACCAAGGTTCAACCATACCAACCACTTCTTGCGGGTGTGGCACGGTTGACCCTTGCATGTAGATGCAATGATTCCCCGAAGTGACATACCACACCTCAAAACGACCCTGTTTAGCAAAATCTAGATCAGGCTGGGATAATGTGGCACTCTAGTTGCACCCTGAGAAAGAAGAATAGTATTTTTCCTATGGCCACATGAAGAATTAGCAGCTAAAACTAGGATCTCTCTGATTTGTGGCTTGGGACCTCTGAAGCAAAAGAGAGAAGATTACTAAATATCCATGCATCTTGCACATGGGCTGTAGTCCTATAACCACTTACCTCCAAGCAAGTTAATCAACTAAAAACCTTTGAAATTTCTTATCATTTACAATGTCTTTCCTCATGTCCCATCAAACACAAGAGGAGGTGCCCTGCACTTTCCACATTGTGGATGGAACGTTGTGACTTTAACTTGAAATTCTGACAAGTGACCGTGTTGCTAGTCTTTATACCTAGAATGTCCAGATTTTCCCCAGTGATAAAAGTAGAAAGCTACTGCTTAAGAGAAGCCAAGGTGAGTCAGGAATGTCTGAATCAACCACAGGTATTCTGGGTTGTGTATACAATCCCAGTGTCTGATTATTAGCACTGTTCAGTGGATATATATTACTTTTAGTTACAGAACATACAAGTGCTGCCCTGAGGCATCGACCATTGACGGCTTTCTTTTATCAGTGAAGATCATGAGAGTACAGTATTTCTACAGAACATACAAGTGCTGCCCTGAGGCACCGACCATTGATGGTTTTCTTTTATCAGTAAAGATCATGAGAGTATTTCCTGGCTTGTAATATGCTTCTTCCCGTCTGTTTTTGTTTTTGTTTTATTTTGTAATTTACCAGAGATTATCAGGGTGTTATGCTTTACATTTTTAAAGGAGAAACTAAAAGTTTTAATGGAATAAAATTATACTCGTCACCACCACCACCATTAAAATACAGAGAACAGAGAATCCTGTTTGATTCCAGTGGAACCTAATGCCTTATGAAGGAAATTATGTGGAATCTCCAGCATGTGTAATCCTTCCCATTTTACGGGGTAGAGATCCCTGTTATGTTTCACCATGTTGCACCTCCAGAACTTGGTGAGCTACAGCATAATGAGCACTTCTACAAGGGGAATGCTTATGCGAGTGGAGATTCCTGTTCTGTTTCACCAAGTTACAGTGGTGCCTCGCTTAATGACGATAATCCGTTCCAGGAAAATTGCCGTTTAGCGAAAACATCGTAAAGCGAAATAAAAAACCCCATTGAAATGCATTGAAACCCATTCAGTGCGTTCCAGTGGGGTAAAAACTCACCGTCCAGCGAAGATCCTCCATACGGCTGCCATTTTTGCTGCCTGTATAGCAAGGAATCCGTCCCTAAGCACAGCGGGGAGCCATTTTAATTACCCGGTGGCCATTTTGAAACCGCTGATCAGCTGTTAGAAAAACATCGTTTTGCGAAGAATCGGTTCCCGAAGCAGGGAACCGATCATCACAAAGCGAAATTCCCCCATTTAGACCATCGTGATCGCAAAAAAGATTGTCGTAAAGCAGATTCGTAGTAATGTGGGGCAATCATGAAGCGAGGCACCACTGTACATGGGAAGCCCTATGTTCCTCTTTCCACAAGCTCTTTGAAGGCAGTGCCACAGCCATTGCAAGTGGTTTCTCCAGACCAGACCCTAGCTGTAGACTGTAGACTCTCCTCCATGTGCTTCAGTCACATCCAGCAATGTCAGTAGTTCTGAATATATCTTCATTTCCATCCCCAGTGACATCACCCAAGCAGGAGGAAGGACTTCCCCGATACAGGTGGTCCAATATATTTTTGGGTTTTTGAAAATGTTTTTGGCCAGGCAGGCTTTTGACATTTAGTTTTAGCCTAGCTAGATGTCTGCTGCCTGCTGCTATTAAATCCTTTGTGAATGGGTGTGTTTGTAATGCTTTTAGACTTCCAATCTTTTTTTGAAGAAGTTGATTTTTAAATGGTCCATGTTTAATAACTTTTTAATGATCCATGTATCTCGTTTTAATGTTGTGATTGTTGAATGATTTGCCAGCCACGTTGACGAGGCACCACTGTACATGGGAAGCCCTATGTTTCTCTTTCCACAAGTCATTGCAAGTGGTTTCTCCAGACCAGACCCTAGCTGTAGACTGTAGACTCTCCTCCATGTGCTTCAGTCACATCCAGCAATGTCAGTAGTTCTGAATATATCTTCATTTCCATCCCCAGTGACATCACCCAAGCAGGAGGAAGGACTTCCCCGATACAGGTGGTCCAATATATTTTTGGGTTTTTGAAAATGTTTTTGGCCAGGCAGGCTTTTGACATTTAGTTTTAGCCTAGCTAGATGTCTGCTGCCTGCTGCTATTAAATCCTTTGTGAATGGGTGTGTTTGTAATGCTTTTAGACTTCCAATCTTTTTTTGAAGAAGTTGATTTTTAAATGGTCCATGTTTAATAACTTTTTAATGATCCATGTATCTCGTTTTAATGTTGTGATTGTTGAATGATTTGCCAGCCACGTTGAGTCCTATCACCTCAGAGAATGGTGGCATACAAGTGATGGATGGATGGATGGATGGATGGATGGATGGATGGATGGATGGATGGATAGATGGATGGATAGATAGATAGATAGATAGATAGATAGATAGATAGATAGATAGATAGATAGATAGATAGATAGATAGATAGATAGATAGATAGATAGATAGATAGATAGATAGATAGTGTACACTCGGGCGTGGTGAGTACTTGGTTAATGAGTTGTCTTTAATCAGCAGTTACATTCTTCATGAGAATTAAGTAGGGTGAGAAAGGACTTACTGGGAAGGGTTGTAACTCCATGATAGCATTTATGGTTTGCATGAATAAAACACAGCTTTTTGACATCTCCTGGAACGACCTTGAATTAATGGAGAGATTCTGTCAATATTGTGAAAATGGCCAAAATTCTGTTGTCTGGTATAGTAAATTACCCTAGAGTAAACACATTTAATCCATGAGGATTTGGTGAGTCAACTCCTCCGTAAATCCCATTCATTCAAAGGTGCCTGCTCTAACTGGGATAAAATATTTTAAATAAATTAATAACTTTAAAAATAATAGGTCACAATTAGAGTAGGCCCCTTTGAACCAATGGAACTTATGGAGGAATAGACTCAATGGGTCTACTATAGCGTGACAATAAGTCACAGGATTTTCGACCACTGATGCCAAATCAGGACCAATGCTCTTCCTCAGAACCAGAGAACCTTCTGTGCTGTGAATGAACTAGGTACTCAAATAGTGTGCTGATTCTCCCTTCCAGAACATTCTGATCTGATCGCCTTAGGGACGCCGCTTCTTTGATGTTGAAGATACAGGCAGGAAGGCCATGGATGTGAAAGAAAGAAAGTCGTACCGTTCTTTGACCCGGCGCCGTGATGCTGAGCGCCGTTACACCAGCTCCTCGGCAGAGAGTGAGGACAACAAGATACCTCAGAAGTCCTACAGCTCCAGCGAGACGCTAAAGGCTTACGATCAGGACTCCAGGCTGACGTACGGCAATCGGGTGAAGGAGATGGTGCACCAAGAGGCGGACGAGTACTGCCGAACAGGTACGCTCGTAAGGGAGGGTGAGAGGCCAACGTTCGCTTGTTTCAGTAGTACTTCAAGTATGCAAAATTATTTAAAGGAGCAATGTGGAGACACCTATGATCTAGTTGACACAAGCTGTCTTGACATTACAGATTCCTCAGTCTTTCCAACTGTGTGGGTTGTTATTCCTCCCCCCCCCCCAACCCTCGCAACTGGGTGGGTTTTTATTCCCCCCCCCCCCCCAATCCTTCGTGCTTTGGGCAGTTGACACAAAATGCCTCCAGATTATTTTCTCTTTTTGAAGCTAAGCGATGGAAGCACAACAAATTAGGCGACACACATGAACAAACCCTCTCAAGCTTTTACTTTTAAATAGAACATGCGACAAGACGTTGGAAGAAGCAGCTTGCACTCCACAAAAGCGTACACATAATAAAATACATTAGCCTTTAAGATGCTGAGCACTCCTTGCTTTTGAAGCAAAAAAATTATGGCTGCTCTTTCCCTGAAAACCATTTTCACACATATACTAATTCTCTCTGTCTTTCTCCTCCGCCTCTCTTTCACATACATTCATACTCCACCTTCTGCAACATCTCAAGTGAGGAGAAAAATGTTTGTGCTTTTCCATCTAGTTCATGAGAAAAAAAAAACAAGTAAGGATTAACATCCCTGGACTATATGCCAGGAGGTCCGGTTCGTCAGACAACCCAAGACTTAGCATATGTTCCGTGTATAAGACTATACTTTTGTCTAAAATCTTTAGACTAAAAATTGAGGGTCGTCTTATACACGGAAGTAAGTTGAGGAGAGAATAAAAACAAGTGGAGGGGAAAGCAGGGATCAAAGTGATCCTGCAGGGCTTTGATCCCTGCTTTCCCCTCCACTTGCTAAGCCCCACTTAGATTTCTTAATTTTGGGTTTAAAAAGTGGGGGCGTCTTATACACGGAAAAATATGGTACATATATAGTTTTTAATATACTACAACAGGGGAGAAAAGTGCATCTTCTGTGCTGAGTACACCAGTACTGGGAGGTTCCCCCCACCCTGCATAAAGTGGGGGCGTCTTATACACGGAGAAATATGGTATGTATATAGTTTTTAATATACTACAACAGGGAAGAAAAGTGCATCTTCCGTGCTAAGTACACCAGTACTGGGAGGTTTCCCCCACCCTGCACCTTTATACACAGGCATACTTTTGCATTTTTTAAGTAGGGGAGAATCGTGGGCATGTGGGCATTTTCCAGTTTTAAGAGTCTTTTTAAAATAAAAATATTTGGGATGAGTGGGTTGTGGAAGTGGCTATAGCCTTCCAAGGCCCAGTGATGGGACTGTATGGCCTTGTACGACCTCTGGAGTTTCCCCACCCCCATAATAAAGGAATGAATAAAGACCAATACACCATTTTAAAAAATTAACAAAATGCAGAAAGAGAAAATACCTCATGGACATAATGGGAAATAAAAGATAGAGATTCTAACTGCTGATTATTCAAGGTAAACATGCATGGAGGGGAAGTGCAGGAAAAGAAGAACTTAACAGCTGAAGAACTTGGGGGACAGGTTTTGGATGCGGTACAGCATCATCATTGAGAGCCCCTGCATCCTAAGTCAAAATAGCTGTAATGACAGCCACGTCTTTGTAGGAGAGGAATGCAAAGAAGTACCAAGAGTCAAAGGGAAACCTTTCCAAATTTGCCTGGATCCTCAAGGATGATGGCATTTTTTCTCTGTTTCATTAGCCAGTCTGAATTCCTAAGGCAGGAATGTGCGACGCCTAAGGGGCCCCAGTGGTATTATCTGGATTAATTTATCATAGGCTTATTTCTTGTTCTCTCAACCAGCTCCACAGGATTGGCAGAGCACAGGAGTTCTGAATATCAACGATGTCAGGAAGCTTAATCTGTTTTAGTTAATTTAAAAGGTGTGACGCTCACCCCTAGCTTCTGTACCCTTCATACACCATGCTGCAGCTGCCAAGAGAAGGACTGAGGGTTTACATTCTCTATTGAACCTCCTTCTCCCCCTTTGTTCGGGGTTTTTGGCATGCCCTTTTAGTCTGATGTTGTCGTACTTCAGCTCACAGGGAGCAAATGAAATTAAGGAAGTCTCTCCTGGTGAAAACTGAAATGACAAACGTAGAGACACACAGAGCTGCTTGCGCTGAACAGAACACATCAGTGCACTGCAAAAGGCGTTAACCTGCTGGAAGCAACTTTGCCATGAGCCAGCTCTTCCACAGGTGTGACCTTCATAAGGATGTATCTTGGAAGGATGCTAAAACTGTAGCTCTTTTCAAAGGTAGGCGCTTAAAACACTGTGAGTTTCAAGTGGAAAAAGGATACCTCCCATTCTCCTATCCCATAAGTTAAAGTTCGGTGCACATCTTATTCTGGTGACATTATTCAGTGATTTTCTCTCATTCACGTCCCACATAATTGACTGGCACCATTGAGAGAAAAGTGCATCATAATTACATCTGGACAGGTATTAAATAACACATAACAGAGTATGGAAGGTGAGGTAGGACTCGAATATTGTGGTTGTTATGTGCCATCAAGTTAACTCCACCTCACGGTGGAGATGATGAATGAGCCATCTCCAAAATGTACTATCTTCAGCTGCCCTCCTCAGCTCTTGTAAACTCAAGCCTGTGGTTTCCTTTAGGGAGTGACTCCGTCTTAATCCGTATTGGAATGGTGGCTGCAGGTCGAAAAGTCTGTAGGTCGAGTCTCCATCGACCTACAGTGCATTGAAAACCGATTAATCCGTAACTAGCCGTTTTTGTTCCATTTTGGTTTTTTTCTGATCTGTAAGTTGATTCTCTGGCTGCAAGTCGAACCTAAATTTTGTAGCCAGAGAAGTCTGTAACTCAAAAAGTCTGTAAGTCGAGCCATCTGTAAGTCGAGGGCCCACTGTAAAATAAAATACATATTGTGGTTTCCGGAGACTCCTGCCTTCTCATGATGTGCCCAAAGCAGGACAGTCTCAGCTTCAGCATTTTTTGCCTCCAGAGATAGTTCAGACTTGATTTGATCTGGGACCCCACTTACCGTATTTGCTGACGTACAAGATGACTTTTTTGGCCCCTGAAAAACATGCCTCCAAGTGGGGGGTCGTCTTGTACACCGGGTGCATGTCCAGCAAACCCTCCCTCCCTCCCAGCGAAGTCACTTACCTGGTAGTAAGACTGAGTAGAGCCCCGCTCCTAGCCTGGGAACAGCCTGACTCTAGCGCTGAACAGCTGACTGTCGGGAACAGCAGAGAGGAGGCAGCCATTTTGAGATGCGACCACATGGCTGCTGCCTCTCAAAATGGCTGCCGCCTCTCTGCTGTTCCTTCTTCCAGCAAACCCTGGCTCTCTCCGAAAAGGAACCAAAAGAGGCAAAAGGAACTCTGCCCATGATGCAGCCAAAGCAGAATCACACATGCGGGAGAGGGGGTAGTCTTATACAGCAAGTATATAACAAACTCTACATTCTGAGTGAGAATGTTGGGGAGTCGTCTTATATGCCCAGTCGCCTTATACACCGGAAATTATGGTATTCATCTTTCTGGCAGCCCAGGTTATCCATGGTGCTCTCCTCCAGCACCACATTTCAAACAAATCATTTCCCCCACTATCAGTTTCCTTTACTATCCAGCTTTCACACCCAAAGATGGTGTTTGGAAATGCAAGAGTGAGGATGATCTTGGCCTTGGTCTCCAGGACCCCACCTTACCCTTGATGAATTTTTTCCCTCTAATTCCTTAATTCATGGCCTTCCTACTTTCAGTCTTCTTCCGATTTCTTGGCTTCAGTCTCCATTTGGGTAGATGATTGAACTAAGGTAGAGTGGCATTATTATCGCTCTTCCTAGAGATGATCCCAAGTGAGAAAAGAACCCAGAACAAGAGGACCATTTGATATCCCACTTGGCCAGAATCTCTAGCTAAAGGATGGAGAAAACATGATCCTCCCACCATTGGCCAAGCTAGCTGGGGCTAATGGGAGATTTAGCCTAACAGCATCTGTAGGACAATGTGGATTGACTGGAGTCCTGACCTGCTGTGTGTAACCCCAATTTATTTTTGTTTACTCATGAGCAAGCTGCCCAAGCATTGGCCTCAGCCCATTATGGTTTTAGTAGCAAAAGATGAACCAAACCTTCTGTCCATCTTTTGTCCGGTGTTGCTTTCTGAGGTTGCAGAACAAGTTGCATCCTGCTGAGATACAACCCCATCTACTGGTTATGGACCTCTGTAAGAAGAGATGAAATCTGTTCGGCCATGGAGATGTGAGCATCTAAATTAGGAACATGTATCTTCTCTACTCTTTGGGTCTCCTCTGTTCTTCAGACCACAGTCTAGGCTGAAGTGGTGCTTTGCTAGGCAGCTTGGTCCTTCCAGATTGATCAGATTATGGTGTTCTCAGTTAAATAGCCAGGTGGTCAAGTCCAAAGAGAAAGCTAAGAAATACTGTAGATGCTCACACAAACTCTCTACCTTAACAAGAAGCTTTTTCAAATACCAAATTTTTCTGTGTATAAGACGCCCCCATGTATCAGACGCCCCCCCCCCACTTTTCTAATATAAAATTAAGAAATCTAAGTGGGGCTTAGAAAGTATAGGGGAAAGGGATCAAAGTGCTGAAGGATCACTTTGATTCCTGCTTTCCCCTCCACTTATTTTTGTTCTCTCCCCAGCTTACTTCCATGTGTAAGACGACCCTTTGTTATTAGTCTAAAGATTTTAGGCAAAAGTATAGTCTTATACACAGAAAAATACGGTATATCTTCCACCCTCAAGAAAGTTGCGGAAATCTATTGGGCAACCTAGGTGGGCAAACAGCCAGTCTTATATCAATTTTAGGCATGGCTGGGAAACTTTCAGCCCTCCAGATGTGATAAAAGTTCAGCTCTCATGAGCTGTAGTCAGTATGAGCAGGGCTAATAGCAGCTATAGTCTAACAACCTCCGGAGATATGAAACTTTAAAAGGTGGAACATGAAAGTGCAAAGTGACAGCGTCTCACATGACCTTTGGAAGCATCTTTCTGCTTGTTATAATATAATAACCATGTGCTGTCAAATCCATTCTGACTTATGGCGATCTTTTTCAGGGTTTTCCAGGTAGAGAATACACAGGAGGGTTTATCATTCCCTGGTTTGGGGGAATCCTGGGATTGTACAGCTTGCCCAGTAGAACGAGTGATACTTTTTTATTGGACCTCTAAAAATTAAATGCATTGCAAGCTTTTGTGGATAACTTCATATTTATTTTATTTTTTAATTTTATTTTATGAGACGTCTACCCCGCCCATCTAGACCAAAGGTCTACTCTGGGCGGCATTACAATTTTTTAAAAACAGTAAACCTAATAAACATATGCCATAAATCCAATGGCAAAAAATGGTCACATGGCCAGTGCGACTTAGACATGGAACGCTGTTACCTTCCCACCGAGGTGGTCCCTATTTATCTACTTGCATTTGCATGGTTTCGAACCGCTAGCTTGGCGGGAGCTGGGACAACCAACGGGTGCTCACTCCGTTGCGTGAATTCGATCTTACGACTGCTGGTCTTCTGACCCTGCAGCACAGGCTTTGGCGGCTTAGCCCGCAGCGCCACCACGTCCCTTACTTGGGCCATGAGGGTATCTCTAATCAAGACGAGAGAGTATTGTGTATGGATTTCTGTGTATGTATGTCTGATGATTTAGAACAGGAATCTTCTGGATACCTCTTCGCTCTTTTGCAATTCTGTTGCGAGATGAAGAGGAAAAGAGGAATACAAATTTTAAGGAATACAAGGGCATTGGTGTGGTATTACTAATTCATCTAGACAGCTTTTCTGCACACAACTTTTGAAGTGAGAGTGGTATTGCTTGAATGTTTGTTCACTCTCCCTTGAACTAATTATGTTGCTCTGCAGGTATCTATAGATGAATCCAAGAGATCCCCCCCCCCATCTCCAGGTAATATTTATAGCCAGGTAAACAATTGCATCTTTCCTGCAGCTGAGCACTCTCTGCTGTGACCTTATCAGAGTGGAAAATGTCAGCTGGGTAGGTGTTTGGGAAAAGCAGGTCAAGATCCTGAAACAACGTTCTTGTATGCCTTTGTGTTCCTCAGCAATACTGGACTTGAAATGGTGTTCCAGCATTGTGGGGCAAACACGGTATCCACAGCCAGAATCCATGGAGGTAGTAGATCCATGTGGACAGTCATTAAAAGATGAGAACTGGAAGATAGATGTGATTCAATTCCTTTTTCTTCTTCTTATTTTTTTTCTCTTTATAGAGGTAGGGTGGGGTAAGGGATAACTGGGATAAGGATACATTTCGAGGAGGTGGATTTGAACGGTTACATTACAAGTCGGTATTTTCCCCCCGTAATAATTCTAAATAATCCCTTCTAAGAATAATTCCAATTATCATACAAAAATATATACATTACAGTGGTGCCCCGCATAGCGACGATAATCCGTTCCAGGAAAATCATCACTATCCGGAATCATTGCGATACGGAACAAAAAACCCCATAGGAACGCATTAAACCCTGTTTAATGCGTTCCTATGGGGGCAAAACTCACCGCTATGTGGAAATCCTCCATCCGGCCGCCATTTTCGCTGCCCGGTAAGCGAGGAAAGGGTGCGAAAATGCTGCGGGCGGCCATTTTTTCCGGTGGTCATTTTGGAATCACCGATCAGCTGTTTTCTAAACATCGCAATGCGAAAATCAGTAAGCGAAACGCTTACCGATCATCACAATGCGATATTTAGCCATTCAAAACATTGCAATGTGATCGCTTTTGCGATCGCAAAATCCGCATCGCTATGTGGATTCGTCGTTAAACGGGACGCTCGCTATGCGGGGCACCACTGTATATAGAAAAATCTAAATTCAGACAGGTATTTTGTAATTCCCATTATTAATTATGTAGCTGGTCTTTTTTGCAACCATGCATATAGTGGCAGCGAAGTTTCCCGATGATCCTTTTTCGTTTTTGGATTCAAGCATTCTGTTAGCATATCAATTTCTGCGGTTTCCAGTATTTTCCCTATCAGTTAGTCTATTTATGGTATTCCAGACTCCTTCCAGTGTTTCATGAATACTATTCTTGCCACTGTTATCATATGGATGGCTAAGAATGCTTTTTCAGAATCTAATGTATTAGGCAAAATATTTAGTAGAAAAAAATTCTGGTATCATTGATATTGGAGTTTCTAATATCTCTTGCAGTATCTGGTTGACTTTGGTCCAGTATTTTTGGGGTTCTTTACACATCCACCACATGTGGTAAAATGTCTCTTCTTTCTGTTTACATTTCCAACATACATTTGAAAATTGAGTGCTTATTTTATCCAGAGTTGTGGGAGTCATGTACCATCTGTAGAACATTTTATATATATTCTTCTTGAATACTGTAGATTTAGTTATATTTATATTTATTTTCCAGATTTGTTCCCATTGGTTTAATTCAATATTGTGTCCTACATTCAATTCCTGACTGTTTTCAGACAGGTGTTTGGTTGAAAAGATGTTTTAGGTTTTATAAACGATACTTTAGATGTATTATATTCAATACTTTAAAATTGTAGTATTCTTCTATTGATGGGGATTAAAATTGTTTTATGCTGCTGCTTTTGGTTTTGAATGTTTGAAGATAGCTTTCTAGTTTTAAAAAAAGATACAGACAATCAGACCCTCGGGAGCATTTTTATTTTCAAAGATAGTGTACAAAATCTTCAAAAAATAAACGAGTCAACAAGGGCGTGATAGACGCTTCTTGGCTGGAAGACAAGGACATACAGTTTTTAAAAAAACTAGATGGCTCATATGGGAGATCATCACAATGCGATATTTAGCAATTAATAAGAGGTAGCCTTATTAATATGTGCAAGCATTATTGGGCAAAACCAAAAGAACAATTAAAAAGACAAAAACGTTGTGCTTCTAATCTGGGTAGCCATTGTGGTAAGAGAGGCTTACTAACCCCATGAGAGGGCCTGGAAGAGGAAATAAGAAACTGGGCCTTCTTGTGGGTTGCCCCCTTTTATGGAAAGAACTGCTGCTGGAAATTCACCCGGCCCTTTCTCTGGCAGTTTTTAAGAGGTCCTTGAAAACTTTCCTGTTTTGGCAGGCCTTCCTGTAGCGGGCCACTCTCAAGCCTCTACCAATACAGGCCTCCAAGAGGGCTCACTACTATTCTTCACTTGCTGCCACCAACCTATCCTTGGTACTCACAAAGGACAAGTTTTTCTTTCAAACAAATAAAGTGTTTATTGATTTGTACAAAATAAAAAGGGTGAATCTCAGGTAATAAATCAAGTTGTTAATCACCTTTCTCAATTACTAGATCACACAGACTTTTCCCTCACTTGACTATCTCTCTCAAATCTATCTCACTCTCTCAATCAACTTCTCTCATCTTTTCAAACTCTCCAAAAACTCTCCCTTTCACACATCACACACACCTTATATAATCCAGCTCCTCCCCCTTCTGCATCACCCTCCGTCCTCTCATTGGCTGAGGTTCCCCCGCCCAGCTGTGACGGACAGGTGAGAGCAGAGCTGTATGCCACACTTCCAAACTATAGGATCTCAATAGCCTGCTGAGATGATATTTAACATCCACCTCATTAGCCTCTGCCTGATTTTAATTGAATATTAATTGTAAAAGCAGCTTGTTATTATGTTTGCTGAGTTATCGATTTATTTGTTAGGTATTTATGTGTGTTTTTTTTTCCTTTTGCACCCCGCTCACAGTGATTATTGGTCAGATGGGTGGTTTAGAAGTAACAGCAACAACAACAACAACACAACAACAACATATCAAAAAGAATGGTCTACGTAAACCAAAACCATCCATATTCAGATCATGACTGACTTATGATCCTTGCGGATTTTGACAAATAAAAAATGCCAGTTATAGGTTCAGTCACTGAAGATGGATGCAGAATTAATTTGATTTTTATTATGAAACAAAGGTCCTGTACTTTGCATGTGCTTCGTAATGTCAGAGGAAAGAACTTAAGGTGATGGGGAGATAAACTGATACGTTCTCCTTTCAGAGAGCTTTGAATCCTCCGTTCTTAGAAAGTCAAGCTTTATCTCCCTGCGCATTCAGTCATGGTTGTGGTGTTGCACTGAGGTCCTGCTTCTACATTTGGACATAATCCTTCTCTTTAAGCAACACGGCAGACAGATGTGACCTATTCTCCCCTTTGAGCTGTACCTGTTTAATTTGAGCTGTACCTGTTTGATTCGAGCTGTACCTGTTTAATTTGATGAGTGTCAGAGATTTCTTTGTAAATTTGACAGAAAACTTTCCATAGCAAAGTAGGGATTTGAACCCTGGTGTCCTGAGTCCAATGCATCACTCTGCTCACTGCACTCCACAGCGTCTCATCCTTAATGTCTAAATAGTGCAAATTAGAGGTGTGCATGTTTGTCTTTTTTTGGACCATAGCTCCCAGAATACCCCTGGCGCTTAGGGAATTCTGGGAGCTATAAACCAAAAATACAAATCTCTGCACCTCTAACTTACCCTCTGGAAACTTCTGCTTTTAGCCCTGTTTTAAAAAGTATTCCATAATACTCTCTTCTGTTTGCCTCTTCCTTCTTTTTTTCCCTCCCCTCCCCTCAGGCGCCAACTATTCTTTGCGCGAGCTGGGCCTCGAAGACGTCTCGCCGCCCCACGGGACTCTGTACCGGACAGATTTAGGGCTGCCCCATTGCGGCTATTCCATTAGCGCTGGTTCGGATGCAGACACCGAAGCGGACGCCGTCCTGTCGCCGGAGCCCCCGGTCAGGCTTTGGGGACGCAACACCAAGTCCGGCCGGAGCTCCTGCTTATCAAGCCGTGCAAACTCGAACCTCACCCTCACGGATACGGAACACGATAACACCGAAACCGGTAAGAGAGACGGCTGACAAAATGCCGGCCCTGTGCCATTGTTCCTAGAGATGCTTCTGACCATGTCTTCATTTTTTGGGGGGTTGTCCTGCCATCTCCCTGTTTTGCTTCCGGTTTTTAAACTTGCAAAGATGTTTCTGTTTTTTGTACGTGCGAATTGAGGAACCCAAAGGGAAGGGATGGTATTCTTTTAGCGGTGAAAAGGCCTTTGTAGAAAATGTGCAGCAAGGAACTGCTGAAGAGCCTTCTGATTTATTCACTGTTAAAATGTGGCAACCGTTAACGGGCTCACGTGCATGCATCATAAGACCTTTTCTGACAAAAATAGCATTTAAAATTTCACCCTATTGAGCTCTCCCCTGCTCTCTTTCTTTTCTCCTCCCGTGCTTTCTTTCATCTCTACGGCTGATACTCGTGCAGATAATTTCCAGAGCCATCCTCGCTGGCTCCCGCTGCTTATGTAAATAGACTTGGTTGCTCCCTCTAAGGGGGAAGAGGACGATGGGAGGAATATATAGATATATATTTAGAAACTCATCTTTTATGGAACCTTGAAGGTCACAGGTTCCCTTTCCATAACTTCTCCCCCTCTTTCTTTTTATCTCCTCCGCCTTGTCTTCCCAGCTTCAAAGATCTCACAGTTGTGAGGCTGAGGATGGCTGGAGCGTTTGGGTCTGCAGTTTTGTGAGGAAAAGAGAGCAAACTGTAATACACGGTTGTGGTTTGACCTGTATGTGCATACAGACAGTGGTAGTGGTGGTGGGGAAGAGGACCACAAAGAAGCAGCCACGAGTAGCGTGTTCCTTTGCACTTCTAACTGAATTGCTGCTTTGCCAGTTTCTTAATATAGATCCGATGTCACGGACAATGAGAAGCGAGGGTTTTGTCTCGCAGACTCGTGCAGCATAACTGAAGCTATTCCCCTTCTGCTGCTTTCCACTGCTTAACTGGTGGTAACATGTGGTGGTAATTCTTCTTCTTCTATTATTGTTTTTTTTTTCCTTTGCATTTAGGAAGTCTGCTGGCATTTTTTTTCTGTTTGTTTGTTTGTTTGTTTCCTTTGCATTTAGGAAGTCTGCTGGCTCCGCTTTGCTGTCTATTAACCCTGTGGGTTTATGTTTAATTTTGGAGACTGAACCTGAGGCTTCTTTTTGGGGGTTATGATCTACCCTACTTGAGCAGTGTGGGTTGTTCCCACGCCCACCCCCTCTGGATGGTTTGCTTGATTGTTTTTGTTTGTTTGTTTGTTTTGTAAATAAGTGAACAACCATCTGTGGAGCAGGGAATTCTCATAGCCTGTGTCCGTTGAAACTTGGGTCACAGTTAACTTCCTGCTCCGCAGCAATCCAGAATGCTAACGTGAGGGAGGACTGGGCACCATGTTACCCCAGAACTGCCTGTGGGCTTTGGCCTACTTCCAAATGATTTCTCACATTAGAATCTCTGGCAAGAGCAACCTGTCCCACCCTGGGCAGCCGGAAGGTAAAGAGAGAAGGGGAGAAATGGGTTGTAGAACAGCCCTCGCCCACCTCTGGATCTTAGAATTGTAGTGGATCCCAATGGTCACCTGATCCATCCCTACCAATGCAGGAAATCCTCAGTTACAGCCATAGCCTTCTTTCTTTAAAAAAAACCATCAGCTGTTAAATACCACCACCTTCATAGGAGGTCCATTCCACTGTTGAACATCTCAGGAAGTTCCTCCTAATATTCAGTCACAATCTCCTTTCTTATCATTTGAATCTAGTGGTTTGGATCCTGTCATCTGGAGCTGCAGCATACAAAATTAGTCCACCTCATTTAAGACAGTCCTTGAGATGCTGTTCTGTAATCTCTTCTTCATGGTAAACATGACTCTCTTGACTGTGTCTCATAAGTTTTGGCTTTCAGACCTTTTGGTCAGTTTTCTCTGCAGATTTTCCAGCTTCTGGATCTACCTTTATCTACTGTAACACAGTTTGAATATATTCTCCTTGAGGGAGAAATTACCTTCCTTCATAATTTTCTATTTACAGTATTTGTTGGATTGCTTATTTATTTATTGGTTGCTATTTATATGTTTGTAACCTGCTTTTCTTCCAATGATCTCAAGATGGCATACATGCTCTTTTCCATCTTCTCCTTAGGCTTGTCATAACCCTGTAAGGCAGGTCCTGCTGAGATAAAATGACTTCCCCAAGGTAACTCAGTCAGTTTCAGATTTCAGTAGGGACTAAAACTGAGGTCTTCCGAGTCCCATTCTGGCACTCTAGCCTCTAACGTACCTTGCAGGGATGTCGTGAGGATGAGTAAGGAACAGCAGCCCCCTTTTTAAGCAGTGCTACAGATAGGCAAATCAGGCAAATTCAGCTTCTTTGATAAAATCAGAAAGCATAATCAGCACAGAAGCAAAGAAGCTGATATAGATACAGACAATGGGAAATCAAACAAAGTCCACTCCTCAGTTCATTGCAGTGAAGCATCATCATTACAGATCCCAAGAGCTTCTAACAAAGTCACTTTGACGGTTTTATAGGGGAAATATTGTAGCAGACATGAATTAGTGCTAAGAGTAAGCGCAGAGGCACACGACGGATTGAGTGAGCTTACCGGATCTGTTTATCAGTCAATATTAATTGCTGACTTTATCAATAGAACTTGTAGCCTCTAGCTGTAGTCAGTACGGAGTTTTATAAAGCAGCCATCAATAGAAGAGTTTATGGGGCCATTAAAAGCCATTTTTCTCCCACCACATGTTCATGTCAGCAATTTTTGTTATGTTTTCTCATTAATTATGCAAAATAAATAATCAGTATTGAATTCTGATGTGGTTCATCCAGCGCTTTCTGAATAGTTTTAGCCTGATGCTTTTTAAGGTTTAGATTGCTTTTTTTTAATGGGGAAGGTTTAGGTTTTATACTCTTTTGTCTTATAAAGTATTGGTTCTATCAGTTTGTGAGACTGAAGACAGGGAAAAAGGCTGTGTAGTCTTTGTACAAAATACAGGGAAAAGGCATATTTTTATTGGACATCTAAAATATGGAAAATAGACAAGCTTTTGCATCTGGAATGGTACTTAGCCCTTGCGAGGCAAAGCTTGTAAGGGCGGAAAGAGAAAAAGCCTTCGCGAATACAGTGGGGTCTCTACTTAAGAACTTAATCCGTATTGGAAGGTGGTTCTCAAGTTGAAAGGTTCTTATGTTGAATCTGCATTTCCCATAGGAATGCATTGAAAACCATTTGATCCGTATCTGCTCTTTTCCGGTTTGTGTGACTGAAGACAGGGAAAAAGGCTGCGTGGTCTTTGTACAAAATACAGGGAAAAGGCATATTTTTATTGGACATCTAAAATATGGAAAAGAGACAAGCTTTGGCATCTGGAATGATACTTAGCCCTTGCGAGGCAAAGCTTGTAAGGGCGGAGAGAGAAAAAGCCTTCGCGAATATAGAGAAAAAGATGCTTCAAAAATTGATGCTGTGGCGTCCAGGTCTCTCTTAAAGTTATGTCCCAAGATGGAGTTGTTCTGTTCTTAAGCAGGGACGTTCTTAAGTAGAGACCCCACTGTACAGAGAAAAAGATGCTTCAAAAATTGATGTTGTGGCGTCCAGGTCTCTCCAAGATGGAAACGCCAAGCTTGTTGTGTTAGTTTTTACTCTGGGCAATGGAAAATGACCGCTGGATAGCTCAGTGGTGTAGGCATCTGGCTGCAGAGACTTCAGTTGGGAGTTCAATTCCCCCACGGTGTTTAAGTAGAGACCCCACTGTACAGAGAAAAAGATGCTTCAAAAATTGATGTTGTGGCGTCCAGGTCTCTCCAAGATGGAAACGCCAAGCTTGTTGTGTTAGTTTTTACTCTGGGCAATGGAAAATGACCGCTGGATAGCTCAGTGGTGTAGGCATCTGGCTGCAGAGACTTCAGTTGGGAGTTCAATTCCCCCACGGTGTCTTCCCAACACGAGCTGGATTTGATGATCCATAGGGTCCTTTCCAGTTCTGCAGTTCCAAGATGACGACGACGAATTATGTTTCCCCCTCACTGTAGACAAAGGGGCACAAAATACTTAGTGTCTCTGCTGCGTGCTTCTCTTCCCAGCCAAAGACCAGCTCTACCCTTCCATCCAAGACAGGAGTGAATGATCAGATACTGTATATACTCAAGTATAAGCCTAGTTTTTCAGCACAATGTTTTTGCTGAAAAAGCACCCCCTCGGCTTATACTCAAATCAGTGTCAAAATTACATGTTCTCCCCTGCAGTGCGGGTGTTCTCTGGACTCCCCCGCTCATCTACGGGTGCCTGCAGCCTCTGTGGGTGGTCCAATGACCTGGATTAAGTACACTGCATTTCCGCTTCCAGGGCACTCCCATCCTCCTCCTTCTGCATATTCTATGTACCCACCTTCCTCCTCCCACCTTCCTCCTCCATCCTCCATCTGCCTACATCTTGTTACGCAGCAGTAGAGCAGTAGATAAGTGCAGCATCCAGTATAAGTCCTTCCTCCACAGGCAGTGAAGTGTGTCTCGCAGTTCAGAATGGCACTATCTTCAAAAACATTTAACCTACTGATGCCTGGATTAATGTAATTTTATTGGTATCTATTTTTATTTTTTAAATTTACCAGTAGCTGCTGCATTTTCCACCCTCAGCTTATGCTTGAGTCAATAAGTTTTTCCAGGTTTTTTTTGGTAAAATTGGGTGCCTCGGCTTATAGTCGGGTCAGCTTATACTCGAGTATATACAGTACTTAATTCTTGCCACCTTTTCTAGCGAAGTGGTTTAGAAGCCTCTGGCTGTGGAGCCGATGGAGAAAGCAGTTCCCCAGTGTGTCTCCTTGAGAGCAACTAGACCCTGTGATCCAAAGGGGTCCCTTCCAGTTCTGCAGTTCTAAGATGATGGTGATGCTGCTGCTTAATTCTAGCCCCTTCGCCTGGTTCAAAAGCACACTTTCCAGTTTGTGATGAAGTCATCATCTGTCTATTTATTTGTTTTACTTTAAATGAGGAACAGATCAATGGCTAAAT